TGAGCCCATAGCAGAACCTTTGAAACATCATCATATGTGACAACAGTCAAGACAAAGGCCACTTTAATTTACATAGCAAAATATCACAAATTTGACCCAAAAGGCTTTGTCACCTGGACACATCGCAAACTGATCTGAAACAGCACAGAGTGAATATCAGAAAAATTTGATGAAAAATCAAAGAAACAAACTGATTATTATTAAAATTGTGCTGTTATTAAAAAGCTAAGAATATGATCCGGGAGGATGTCAAACAACTTTTTATCCAAAAATTGTTTATATTTAATTATGAGTATTATTATTTAACCATGCGAACATGAATGACTAAGCTGCGCTGAAAGAATAAGAAATATCAACATATTAAAAAAACTTAGAAAGTAGTAGCTGACCACTGAAAGAGGCACAGAGAAAGGTTTTAAGGCTGTTACCACAACTGATATGCGTTGCTTCTTGAAAATGTTGCTTCTCATAAGCAAGTATCGAACTGAACATGAAATTCTAAGGCCCCGAGTTTTGTGCTCAGTGAGCCAGACGTAGTTGTTCAGCAGTATCACTTATTAAAATACAGGAAAGTGCAATACAAAATACAAACAAAAAAGAAAATAAATACATTGTTAAATTAAGTCAGTCAATATCTTGCTAATTGAAGAACAGATGTTTTATAGTTTTTCCTTTATGCTACTTTTAGAAAAGATATATAAACACCCTAAAAAGTTGTGTGTGTATAAATTAACTTCAACTTTGAAATTATTCTGTTAAAAAACAACTTATTTTGACAAATGCAGTATAATTTCCTGGAGTATATGGATGACAAAGACTACAAATAATGAGGACACTTTTTTGTTAAGATGAAGAGATGTTCAACATTTGCATGAAAACTGTCCAAACGAACCAATGGGGTTTTGTTGATAAGATTAGGCTCTCTGATTGGTGGATCCATCACTAACACAGTGAGAACAGGCTTTAAAAAGGTCCCAGCACAGCATTCACTGCAAGCTGAATGACAGCAATGGCTCATCTGAAGCTTCTTCTTCTTCTTCTGTGTGTTGGTGAGTGAAATATTGCACTTATTTCTCAGGTTGCGACAAATTCTGTGTTACTAAAGGATTATTTAGGTTTTCACTAAACCACCAGATACTGTTTTTGTTCTTCTTTGTCTCTGCTTTGATATCAGTTATTATACATTTGTCAGAATGTTACAGTATCAGGAACACTGTCTCTACAGTATGATTGTACTTTTTCTTCTTTTCATCAACTTGCAGACACATTTCTGCAAGTATATCTGCAAGTATAATAACTAGAAAGAATATGTTGTTCTTCAGATGGAAGAAACAACCAGTTGTGAGTAAATTATTTTCTTTTTCAGGCATCACAGTCAGCACAGGAGTAGATTTGCACAAAAGGATCTATGGAGGCCAAAAGTGTCCAGACTCTGAGCGTCGGTATCACGTGAAACTAAAGGCAAAACATGGAACAAGTGGAAAAACAGTATATCTCTGTGGTGGCTCACTGATCCATGAACGGTGGATTCTGACTGCAGCCCACTGCTGGGAAAATGAAACTGGATGGTGAGAAAACAACAGTTTCACTTATAAATGTTTTTAATAGAATTTAAATGTTAGGACAGTATTTCAAATGCTCATGTTCTGTAATTAGAGTCGCTTACACCCATTTCCCCTTGTGCAGGAATATGTATGTAACTTTAGGAGTTCATCCACATCAATCATGGATAAAGTTATTATTTCAACGATCTTCAGATAAAAAAAAAGGTGGAAATCACAAGTGGAGTGTTTTTTGTGGGCATAAATACAATTGAGGACATCATGCTACTGGAAATTCCTTCACAACCAGGCAGGAAGATCGTTGCCTTACCGGACTGTGCAAATCCTCCCAAAATGTAAGTTGTGTGCTTACCTAATAAGTCTGAATCCTTTCTGACTTTTCCACTTTTTTATTTTTATTGATTTGTATTGACATTTATTTACATTATGATATTTATTTATTCACAATGTTGAATATTAGTCACCTGCTTACTGAACCCTGACCATATATTTGGATGTTTGTATGTCATGATGTTAATTTACAAAATATATTAAATTATTTAATTAACATTACATTATGCATTTTCCTTAAGTTTTTGTCAAGAAGCCATATTATACTCACAGTGACTCCATTCATAAAAACAATGAAGGGAAAAACAGGGGCGCACACTTTTTATAGAGCTGTATGGTTCAGAATATAAGACAAACATAAAGAAAAAAAATCAAAGTAGAAAGAACCATAAAATAATAATGTGCTCTGTCTATAGTACGCCTCTCAAAGCACAAGTGGTAGTATCATATAATAAATCCCCAAAATACCTCACCACTTGCAATATCTGCAGCATATAAAGAGATATTTAATACTTTATGATAAAATTATGACTTTATCATCAAAACAAAACTTTGATGGTAAATAAAATAGATAAAAAATAAAATAGATAAATAAGTAATTTCCAAAATAATGCTTTATTTTGGATATTACTGCAACCAAGAACACACAAATAAACAAACCACCCCATATGGAAAAGATATAAATCTTATAAAGTTTGTATCTGTGTTGTGTGAAACTTGTATGAAAAGCATACAAGAGTGAAAACAAGAGATATGAGATCCCTTGAAAATCATATAAATGAAACTTGTATGTTTTGGATACTTACTAAAACAATATATGAAAGTGGCCACTTTCATGAGTAAATCATATAAGCCTTATATGATTCACTATATGAAGTAGGCCAAATCTGCCAGTTTTCTCTATTTCTTTTCCATATGGGGCAGCTCAATCAACACAATATCACAGTAAAAACTTACATTACACTAAAGAAGGAGTTTAAACATAAACAACAGCAATGATAAACTCCCTCAGCAAGTATAATGTTTTTGAGGGATTGCACAATTATTCAATAACAAGTACAATCCTTCCAACTTTTCTTTATGTCAGGGCTCTGTGGCAGGCCTGAGGTGCCTCAGGCAGGGATGAGGACCCAAAATACAGGACTCATAGAGAATGAAGGGCAAACTCAAAGAACCTCAGCTTTATTGCTGGCATGAAACAAAACATAGACCAAACTGAGAATGTTATGACAAGAACACATAGGCAATTCTGAGGATACAACGCGACAGCGAGCAAAGGAAAACACAGGGCTTATATACACAGTGGCGTAATCAGGGAATGGGAAACAGGAGGGAGACACAGCTGGGAGAAATTAGGGGTAACGAGTAGGGATGGGTATTGATAAGATTTTCACGATTCCGATTCCATTTTCGATTCTGTTTAACGATTCGATTCTT